CCTTGATTATTCTTCTTATATTGTTTCCTATTCAGTACAAACTCGGTAGACTTACGTCGAATATTTATAATTCAATATCAAACATCACTTCTTCACGTATTCATCTCATGTCAGAAATTTTAACTGCCATAAAAGTTATTAAATTTTATGCTTGGGAAACTTATTTCCGTGATCGTGTTGGTAAGGTTAGAACTAAAGAATGGACTCAATTGATTACTGGTCTTGTTCTTAAAATATGGACATTCTGTGTTGTATTCGGTGCTCCCATTTTGGCTATGCTGGGTTGTCTTTGCGTTAGGCTTGTGGCATACAAATATCCTGACAATGTGTTGTACCCCAATACAATGTTTACTGTCCTGGCTTTATTTTATACTGTAAGGTGAATAATGACTCATAATAATGCCTAATAATAATGCCTCATTTAGAATGAAAAATTTTATAGGATTTTTTTTCTTAATACTAATTTTAAATTAATATCATTTAAAAGATATCCGCTTATAATGCTTCCCGTTGCTGTGAGAACTACATTGGGTAACAACATTTGGATTATAAATTAATTATTATTTTCATCAACTTTTAATCAACTTTTAATAATTATTGGTTCAATTCAATAATTTAGGTGCATTGGATTCTTTTGAACGTTTAGAAGAATTTTTATTAAGACCTGAATTAGATCCTTTAACAGAAGAAAGTAGTCCAATAAATGATGATCCGGCAATCAAAGTTCATATTCATGACGCTGATTTTTCCTACGAAGGGACCAACGGTCCGGCTTTAAAATTTTTAACCATGACAGTAAAACAAGGTGAAGTTGTTGCTGTAGTTGGTGATGTTGGTGCTGGAAAATCTTCAATACTGGCTGCAATTTTAGGTCAACTTCGTAAAGATAATGGTACTCGAAAAATTCGTGGTTCAATATCTTATGTTCCTCATGATGCGTGGTTGTTAAATGCTACTTTAAAGGATAACATTCTTTTTGGCAATGAATTCGATGCCGAAAGATACCAAGAAGTTATTCAAGTATGTGCATTAAGAAAAGATCTGGATCTATTAAGTAATAATGATATGACAGAAATAGGTGAAAGAGGTGTGAATTTGAGTCTTGGTCAGAGGCAAAGAGTTAGTTTAGCAAGGGCTGTGTATTCTGATGCTGATATTGTATTATTGGATGATCCGCTTAGGTTAGTATTTTGTTTATTTTTATTATGATTTATTTTTTTTTTATTATATATTTTTAATGTCCTGCTTTATTATTTTAAAGTGTTATGGATCCTGTAATAGGAAAACATATTTTTCATGAATGTATTCGTAAATACCTAAAGGTATTATTATATTCATAATTATTAAATAATTTGAAATTAAAATAATTTTGAATTCGCGCTTATTAATTCTGGTTTTTTTTTCTATGCCACAGAAAAAAGCCATAGTTTTTGTAACGAACCAATTACAGGCATGTACATTTCATATATAATACTTGTTTTTAAATAAATTTTACCATTTTCTTATTAGACAAAATAAAATTTCTAGTTTCTATCTGAATGTGATCATATTATAGTGATGAAAAACGGTGAATGTACAGAAGAAGGAACATATGATGAATTAATTAAAAAAGATGTATCTCTCGCTTCATTGATTAATGAGTACATGGAAATAGAAGATCCTGATCAAATTGATGAACTTATTAATGAAATTCGTCTTGAACCAGTTCATGTAGATGATGATGAGAACGTTGATGATTTGGATATTGTTGTCACAGACTATTCTAGACAAATAAATTTTAGTAATAATACTAATAACCATACTCTTACACTTAATCGTACAATATCCAACACCGAAGCTAATGAACATACTATTTCACGTATAATGGAACTTAATATACACACACCTCAGGACATTAATGAGAGAACAATTTCTAAAGTTATCGAACGAAACAACTTAGCTGTTCTTAGTGGTGCTGGTAGAACAAGAGTGATGGGTCCTAAAGTCAATCGTGAAATGAATTTTACAGCCGTTGCTGTCGAGAAAAATCAATTGACTATACATAGTTTAAATGAACGTGAGGGAATTGCACCAGCTATTGAATTTGATGCAAGAGCAAAGAGAAAAGAATTTAAAGCTGGATTTGGCGTATATCTTGATTATTTCCGGAAATCAACCGGACTTGGTCTATCCTTCTTGATGATGTCATTATTCTTTATCATGACCGCTATAAGAATATTCAGCGGTATTTATCTGTCCCTTAAGTTACCTACAATATTAAAAAATCATTTTGAAGCTCTCATTAATTATAAGTAAATTAAAGAACTAATTCTGAATTTTGTACATATTAGATTGGTGGCTAATAAAGTTAGTAGAAACCGGTCCAGACGCCAACTTTGGTTATCTTCTTGGAGTTTACGGCACATTAGTGGTAAGATTTTATCAATGATTTATATTAATTATATTAATTATTATGAATTATTATGAATTATTATTATTTACCATTGTTATTTAAATAACAAATTTCGTGTAACTTTAATTAAATAGGGTGTTGTTCTCATCGGTGTTTTCGCGCGTGGTGTATTATACGCTTGGTCAGTAATGCGTAAGAGTGAGTCTTTACATGATCGAACGTTTCTGGTTAGTATTTTCTTTCGCTTGGCAATAAATCTTGATAATATCTTGTACCATAAATGACATTCATTATTATTCTCTACAAATTAAAAAAAAAGAAAATAATGCGCGCTCCAATGTATTATTTTGACGGTACTCCTCTTGGACGTATATTGAACGTATTTGCCAAACATCAGTACCTTGTTGATGACGTTCTAAGTGACAATGCGTTACAAGTAAAACTTTTTAATAATGATTTAGACTTTTTTGTAATATTTTATTTCTTGTATTAAAATTTATATAATCGTCTTAATTCTTTATAGTTCTTGACTTATGTTCCTCTTGTTATTGGTACTATCGTCTTTGTCATTGTTCTCATCCCATATACCGCAATAGCCGCCGCAGCATTGATCTTTTTAACATGGCTTATTATTCACTATTCAAAGGATGTGGAAGAAAGATTTAAAATGTTGGATGGTGATCATCTATTTATAGAAATTTTTGCCCTATTAAAATTTATAATATAAAATAATATTAATACTTTTTAATTTTTTGTTTAGCTAATAGTAAGCCACCTATTTTTGCACATTTGTCAGCTTCATTAGAAGGGCTTGCAAGCATTCGTGGTTATAAGGTTGAAAAAAGATTTGATAATTTAAATATTGAAAAAGTTGATTCAAATAATAAGGCATTATTTACTTTGATGCAAGGTATATGCGAGAGCGCGATTTAATATTAACTAACATAACTTAATTTCAACAAATATTAATGGTTTTTTTGTCAAATAATAGTCAAGTCCTGGCAATCATTATACATTGACATAATGGCATCACTTTTCATTTATACCACTACATTATTTGTCATTCTTTTACATCATTCAAACAGTGTTAGTCCATCGTATGCAGGTTTAGCGATTGTAAGCGCATCGCAATTACTTATCTTCGGTCATTCTATGATTCGTTCTGGTCGTGATGTTGCAGCAATTATGGATAGTGTACAACAATTATTATATTTCCGTCAAAATATACCATCCGAGGTAAAATAATGAATTATTATTATTATTATAAGTTAAAAAAAAAATATGTATTTAAAAAAAAAAAATTTTAAATACCTTAATTAAATTTTATAGGCACCTAGTATAGTTGATGGAAATCGACCTCCACCAAATTGGGGTGAACGTGGAGAGGTATTTAAATGATATTTAATGAAAGTTTATTAAAATTTTGTTTCCGTATAAAAATAATTAAAAAAATCTTTTATATTATTTTAGATTAAATTCGAGAATGTCGTCCTTCGTTACAATTTATATGGTGTGGCTGTTCTCAAAGATATTTCCTTCCATATTAAACCTCGGGAAAAAGTTGGTATTATAGGAAAAACTGGATCAGGTGAGTTTTATCATATAAAGAGTTTAATAAACTTTTTATGAAAAGATATTTTTTTTCGCACAATATTGCGTAGGTCATTGACTCATATGATCAATTATGATTGTATTAAAAACTTGTTATGTTTATAACTTGTTATTATAATATTATAAGGCAAATCGACGTTACTTGTGAGTTTGTTACGAATAGTCGAATTAGCAGGTGGTCATATTTGGATCGATGACGTGGACATTAGTACCATTGGATTACGAGACCTCAGGAGTAAGATTGCAATTATTCCGCAAGGTATATATCATTATTTTTTTTTTAAAAAAAAAAGTGGTTTATTATAATTTATAATAATTTTCTTGTACAAAAAGAACCTGTGATATTTGCCGGCACAATAAAATCAAATCTTGACCCATTCGGTAAATGTACGGATGAAGAAATATGGAATGCACTCGAAGCAGTTCATTTAGATGGAAAGGTTAAATCAATGCCAGATAGATTAGGAACAGCAGTTCTTGAAAGTGGAAAAAAATTTTCACTTGGTCAAAGACAATTATTCTGCATAGCCAGAGCACTTTTGAAAAAAACAAATATATTAGTCTTGGATGAAGCAACAAGTGCTGTTGATGCGGCAACTGACCGTTTAATTCAAGACACAATTAAATTACATTTCGCTGATCATACCGTTTTAACGATAGCTCACCGACTGGTAAACATTAAGTTTATATATCGTTATCTATATCGTTATATATATTATTTTTTTTATTAAATAACTCGACGTTTTATTTTTCAGAATACAATAGTGGATGCAGACAGGATATTATGTTTAAATGAAGGACGTGTTGCAGAATTTGATACACTAAGTAATCTATTAAATGATCCGAATGGATTCCTTTACCAATTAGTAGTACATAGTGGACCAGATATAGCTCAAAGATTAAGAGAAAAAGTAGGAATACATGATGAATCATCATCAAGTAAAAATGTCGATAATAATTCAATAAATCCACCAAATACAAGTGATACGATAGATAACCAACAAGCATCGACTCATACACATCATATGCCGCAATCGTTAGGAGAAGTTTTTGAACCATCTTCACCTTCAACAACATCAAAACCATCATAAATTTGTTTTTTTTTTTTACTTTTTTTTTTGCTTTAGAATGAGGTTTTTATTCAAGGGCATAAATGTAATATATTTTATTTCAAATTAAGATTTATCTTACGTTCAATCTATATAAAAGTTACGATAATTGTTTTTATGGAAAATTAATTTATATTATTGTACGTAACTTGTTTATCACCGTATTTATTTAAATTATTAATAATAAAATATTAGTAAATATTTCTGGTATCAGAAAACCATCAAATTGTTTTGTAAAATTAAAGTATTGCATAAAAAATTTTATTTTGATTTTAAATTTACGCGTTATATAGAATAAAATGTATTTATGGTGGTTTTTAGTGGCTAGGTTTAAGGTTTAATCGTAATTTCAATCGATTATGCCCCATCGACCGATTTTTAAAAAATATCGATTTAGTCACGTCAGGCAGAACCGTGTATTAAAACGTTTTGGATACAAGTTGGTATGGTCGACTTAAAATACCTGGTTGAATTTATAAATTTGAATCAACTACAAACACTAAGAATCTAAGTTATCATGATCATTGCTAGTGTTTAATATAAAATCTTAAAGGGTTTATTGTTTAGCAATTAAATGTATGTATTCTTGCAAAAATTTAAGTATAAAATTTAATTAGTATATAAAATACCCTAATACATCGAGACTAGCACTAACAAGGTTTAAAGAAATCAGTATAATGTTTTTACAAAGCGCATCTGCTGATGCTTTTCCTCTTGATCCAAGAGAATTAATACTAAAATTTAAGTTTTCAGAATGGTATTCTGCAAAGCGCATCTGATGACCTTTTTCTTCCCCCTGGATAAGATTATTCTATTTAATTAATCAAAGAAATCAACACGGTGTTCTGGCAAAGTGCATTTCTTAATGCTTTTGTTCTATATAAACCCAAATTCATTATAAAGATTCAAATATTTTAGTATAGTGTTCTTGCAAAGTGCATTTGTTAATGCTTTTCCTTCTCCTGCACCAATCCTATTTATTTCAAGATTTAAAGAACTCACCGCGATGGTTTTGCAAAGAGCGTCTGCTAATGCTTTTTTTCCCCAACTGATCCAAGAACATTATTACGAAAATCCAAATCTTTTAGCGTGGTGTTCTTGTAAAGCGTACCTGCTAACACTTTTCTACCTTCTGATTTAAGGTCATTACGAACAAGGTTCAATGGAGTTAGCGTGGTGTTTGTATAAGGTTCATTCGCTTCTGATCCAAATTTATTCTGATCCAAAGAAGTTAGCGTGATGTTCTTGCAAAGAACATCTAATATTTTTCCTTCGTCTTATCCAGATTTATTACGACCAAGATTCAGAGATATCAGCGTGGTGTCTTGCAGAGTACATTGGATATTGCTTTTTCCTTTTCCTGATTTAATATCGTTACCATAAAGATCATAAAGGTTCAAAGAAGCCAAAGTGGAAGTCTATGATCGCCAATTTTTTCATTAAAAGTTAAATTAAGATCACTACTAGTTCTAAGAAACATTGTGAACAAAGAAATTTTCGAATTTGTATACATGTATTGTTTTGGTTTTAAAAGCGCCATTAATATTATATAACACCATGAAAGCAACGGTATTGTTTAAGATTTTCGCATGAAAGGTTTATGAAGGTTATTACAGCTGTTTTCATTATTCCTGGGACACCTATAAAAAAATTAACCGAAAAATTTTTCGGCCGGTAATTTTTTC